CCAGTTGAGGCTGCGAAAAGCAGACGGCCGAGGGTTCTGACAGCAGGCGGGTTCTGAGTCCGGTGGTAGGAAGGATGAGTCAGACCGGGGGGTGGGGGGGTTGAACCGAGTCATGGCAGCCTGGTGCTGACCCGGAGCTGGTAAACTACAGTCACGTCTCAGGAATGGACAGCTGCTGCGCTGGAAACAGCAGCAAAAATAAAAATATTCATCCAGGAAGCTCAAAGACACATTCCAGCCTCCAGGAGCCATGACGCACACCCCCCACCCCCAGGAGAATACAGGGGCTCCTGTGGCAGCACCTGCTCCTTTAACGTCACTTTAACGTGACCTGAACAGAAACGTGCACTCACACAAAATATATTTCACACCAAGCAGCACGACGAACTAGTTCCACAAACTTCACGCTCATGAACCCCTGAACGGAAACGATCGAACCTTGCACAAGCACCTAGGGTTAACCTCATTCAAGATGGCTGCCAAAGCTAAACGTCCCATGAGTCAACCATTAAAGCGGTGGTTCTCAAACTGAGGTCCCCGGACCCCCGGGGGTCCACGAGCCGGTGCTTGAAAAAAGTTTTTCTTTTACAAGCATGTAGATGTTAAATAACTTGTTGAAATTCACCAAAATGCAGGAAATCACATCTACTTTATTCTAATGTTTTTGGGGGAGAACCCCCAGACCTCCCACCGGAGCAAAAACCCACACTCCACCCAGAACGCTCCTGGACTGGGGTTTGAACCAGGGACCTGCTCGCTGACAGGCAGCAGCTCTACCAACTGCACCACCGTGCTGCACATTTATCATGTTCTTTATGTAAACAGGTAAAGTCCGTGCTGTTACTTTTCTCAAAAATGTAAATTTGGAAAGTTGAAATTAAAAATTTTGTTAATTAAATGTCTTTAATGAAAAAATAGCCCATGTTTAAAAGTATAAAAAATATATTAACACTATTAAAGAGCAGGTCTTGAGTATTTATGTTACAAACTATATTGCATTAAAGAGACAAATTGAAGACAATTATTAAATAACCTTGAGGGCGGGGGTCCCTGAACCCCGATCTAAAGCACCCACACCTTCCTGTAAACTTCTGACGTGGTCCCGATGGATGTGTCTGCAGGTTCTCTGAACATTTAGAAAAAGTTTCTCTTTAAATTTTACTTGTTTTTTCTCTCATTTTTAATCCGGCCGATCATTTTCAGAGGAATGCGTTCGTTTCTGGAACGTTAAGCCGCTTCGCTCTGACCCAAGAACCGTTCGTTCGAAGAAAGCTCAATAAATCAGAGCTGTGAGAACAAAACAACCGACCGAAGAACTCCTTTTACACAAACATTGGCCTTTCAGCCTGCAGCTCAGAAACACTTCCTTGTTTTATGGAT